GGGACAAAGAGTTTTCTAGCCTTAGACTGATTTGTAAAGCCTTCCTTTGTATTAATTATCGATTAATAAAGGTTGGGACTTGTTCCTGTAAACACTGCCTGTTTATTGTTTGACATTGCTGTTTAAGTATTTCTATACTTAGTCAATTCTGTGGGTGTAAGTAGGCTGAAGTATTACAGAAGCTGTAAGACTGCCTAGAGTGGTGTGCGAGAAAAATAAGTCGACCCTCTTTCAGACACCATGTAGGATGCATGCGTCTATTTCTCTAACTTTATACAAGTTTAAGTAGTTAATTGTGAACACCCAAAGTTGGAGGGCGATAAATATGAGTTAAGTTCAAGTTAATTTAACTTAGCTTTAGTTGATATTTATGTCCTCCAACTTTCAGTGTACACAAGTAAACACTTAATCTTATATAAAATTGAATAACTAGACACACATATCCTACGCAGCGCAATACAGTTTGAACCTACAATTGACATCCTAAGTAAATCCAAACACACTCTTAGAGGCACACTTTTTTAAAATACGTGAAACACTAATTGTTGCTCAAAAGTAGCTTCTAAATCAACTAACTAAATACAAACCGTTTCTCACCAAAAAATACTTTCGAAAAAAAAACATTTTCTCAAAATAAGCTTACTTTACGATCTTGACCAAACAAGTTATAAATCTCCTTAAAGATTAATTGATATGTGGTGCCTCAACCTGAGGAACTATTTACTTTTCTTGTTCATCTTCAATTGTACTTGTATGTTCACCAACAACTAATTTAGTATCTTGAGTAAGCAATTCAATCATATCCCAAATAATATCACAATTAGTTGAAATAATGCAGGGTGATCAGGGCAAGAATGTGACATTTTGACAAGAACATTTTCAAATGTTCAATCCTCATCATAAAAAAGAAATGAAAACGACCTCATATTTCATCTAATCTAAAAAGGACAGCGTCTTAAATGACGATAGAATACTTTACACTTCATTCAATCTAAAAGTACCAAGTCATATACCTTATACAACACATGACACATAAATTTAAAAGAACAAACAACTTTGGTAATCAATTGAAGAGAAAAAGTAAAAATAAGGAATACAAGAAAAGCATTGAAGAAAAGAGTTTACAACTTACAACAATATATGGTGATCATCAAGCCCTCGACCGTGTGACGCTTTATATTTTAAATTAACCGTAACATAGATTATAATGACAAATAAATGCATCCCATCCATTTGATCCATCTTCTTTGCATTAAAAATCAGTCTTACAATCTTCTGATTTGATCATGGATTTACCTTTCACCGATTGAACGTCGAAATCACACGTAACAGTCACATCTTTTTTCAATGTTTTTGTCCAACTCGTGATCTCCATTGGGGCCTTAACAGTTAAAGTCATTGGTATTGCCTTCTTGTCATCATTAAGAGTTTTCTGAAAATCAGCAGGCAATTTCCCAGCATCAAGATTAAATTGAGAATTTGTTGAATCTTTAGGTTTTTGAGAAATGGCGGTATATTTGCCATGTCCAATTTCATGATTGTTGAAATTAAGAGTCGCTATTCCATGGTCACCTTTACCAAATGAAGTATCCATCCTCTCATTAATGTTAACGATTTTCAAATCGATCTCAAATTGTTGTGTATGACTCTTATTGTTTTGTGGTTGTGTAACGTTTTTGAAATGAACATTCATAATTGAAAATTCAGGAGATTTAGGTGTGTACATTGCGTTAACAATCAACACGATAATTCCAATGGCGATACCTGTAAGTAGTAACGCTGAAAATATCCAACAACAACATGTACATTTCCTTTTCTTTTGAGTTTCTGGTTGTCGATGATTTTCAACAATTTTGGCATTTTCAGGAGGAGGGACACGATAAACTTGATCACGAGGGATTTGAACAACGTAGGTATGATCTGTTGAACGAGCCGGTGTTAGAGAGAGGCGAAGCGATGTGGCTGATGAAAGGAGATTTCTGGCTTTGCCGCCGGCTGCAGGTGGTGACCGCTCCTCCATGCCAGAATGAGGAGCGGTGGATGATGTTAAACGATTAGAGAAAAATGACGGGAATGAGATTATTTGGAGTTAATTGGCCATAATTGCCATCTAATTCTTCATTCACAAACTTTGCTTTTTATGAATTTTTTGGCAAAACCTTTACATATCAAAACTTTTGTATGGTGAGTTAGGAATGAAAATAGTAACCCAAAACAAATTAATCACTAATTTATTTATTTATTTTATTTAAATTTACGTGGATTAATATATTTATTATTAATATATAGATGCAGAACAAAATATTATGACAATCATTTAACCTACTAAAGCATCAAGATCATTAAATAACATTTTCATTATTATCAACAATAGTAATCACTATTACTATTTCCTAAATCAATACAAATGGACTACTTCAAAATTAATTTCTCAATTGACTCAAGTCTTTAAACCCTATGTAATTTTCAAACGTCTTATTCAATTCTACAATTTTAAAGTTAAATTATAAAATCGACAACACAATAATTGCAACACAAGCATTTGTAAAGTCAATAATCGTGTAGGGTTATTAAATAGGCATAATACATATATTTGCCCTTAAACTTGACTTCAAATTTTAAGTATGACCTCAAACGTTCACAGTACACAAATAGGCACTTTAACTGTCATATTCTTTTTATAAATACACACGTGATTTTTGGACCCAAAGAGAGTGAAATACAGTAGCGTCCGCGTGTATTAGTGAGTCACTCAATGACTGCCAACTAATTAAATATTTTACGCATCTTTTTTTTAAAAAAAATTTACACGTCATTTAAGAACTAAAAAAATCAAAATTAATTTTAATTAATATAGAGGGTAACGTTTCTACCCATTTCACATTTCACCCGTTTGTTAATCAAAATCACTCAGCTCAAAGGTGAAAACCGTAGGTTATCAGGGGAATCAAAATCTTGAAATCAAAGGCGAAAATCATTCAAGATTGCTACGAAGTTGATGCTCATCTATTCATCTTCCTTGATTTAGTTCAGGTATGCCTCGATTTTGCTCTTTTGAAAGTTTATCTTTAATTACAAAGTAGAATCTTTTTGTCACCATTAGTGTAAAATTGCTATTTTCTTACAGATTTATGCATATGGGTCATATTATAGCTATTTTTCACCATGGAGGTCGCTTTTATAAAAGTCAATATTTGTCGAAATTGGGAAACATCGTTTTCAGCATACATAAGAACCACTTCTCTTTGACCGAACTAAAATCGTATGCAAAAGATATTGGGTATGATGAAGTTGATATATTTTTTACTGAAGACCCTTTAACCCATAATTTTATTAAGTTAGAAAGTGATAGCCAATTATATAACTTTGTTAAAGATTTGTGGAGTGGGTCATCTATTAAGTTATTTTGAAGCATGTGACTGATAAAGAAGGGGAGTCCACTACTTTGGGACCATTTTCTATTGAAAAAAATAATCAAGAATTGGGAAATTGCTCTAGGGTTTCACACGGGGTAGGTGAAGTTAACAACCATTTGAAGAAGGAAATGGTGATTATTTTGACTTTGAAGAGGATGACTTAGATGATGTTCTAGATCAGGATGATAGTAAAATTGATGAAGAACTGTGAGCTTTTAGAGAAAAACTTAGGGAAGACAAAAAGAATGAAGTTGCAAAGAAAAAAAAGAGAAGTAAAAAATCCTCAAAGGATCAACATGTTGAGCTTGGAGAAGTTGACATAGATAAGGGATTTGAAAATATCTTCAACAAAAAGGCGACCAAATATAATGGAAAATTGGGAGGTGATGAAGTGTTTATTGATTCATCAAATGAACCAAGTGAAGATAGTGATGAGGAGCTAGATGTTTTAGCACAACCAGGTGTTGATTTACCTTCAAGAAGAAAAAACAACAAACTAAGGTATGATTCTTCTTCTTCCATTTCTTTCTTTGAGTTGAGTATGATATTTGAGAGTGCAACTCAATTTAAAAAGGTTGTTGCTGATTATGTTGTTCAACATAAGGTTTAGTTAAGGCTTAAACCCAATAAATCACATAGAGTTAGGGTAAAATGTGAAGGGAAGTGTAAATGGGAAATCTTTGCAAGCTTGGATAAGGATTGTGGAAATTTTTTTGTAAAGAAATACTATCCTGCTCATAGATGTATTTCAAAGAATGAGAACAGGTTGTGCACAGCCAAATATGTGAAAATGAAGATGAGGAATAGAATAATATCTCAGCCTGACATGAGAGTTCATAAGCTTCAAGAGACACAAAGAAAATAATGGGGATTAAAAGTGGGAAGATCAATATGTTACAGGGCAATAATGAATGTTATGGCCAAGTTCTTGGGTGATTAGAAACTTGAGTTTTCAAGGTTTTTAGACTATGCTGATATGATTAAGAGTACAAATTCTGGTAGTTCTTGTTAGGTTAGAAATGATAATGAAACAGTCCCTGGCTTACACTTGTTCAAAGATTTTTATGTCTGTTTTGCTGCATTGAAAAGTGGATGGCTAGAAGGTTGTAGAAAGATTATAGGATTGGATGGTTGCTTTTTGAAGGGTGCTTGTAGAGGAGAATTATTAGTGGTTGTTGGAAAAAATAGAAACACCAAATGTATCCAATAGCTTGGGCAGTGTGTTGATCAAGAAACTAAACACTCTTGGAGTTGGTTCTTAAGCTATCTCATTGAAGACTTGCAACTTGGTGATGGAAGTGACATAACAATCATGTCTGACATGCAAACGGTATTTATTCAACTTTTATTTTTTTTTACTTTCTGCCTTGTGTTAATGTAAGTTTTCACTGTTAGTTATTGTCACTGTCTGTCGTTAGTGTGTGAATCAAGTGAAATCAGCTATTGTTTTTGTTTATTTGTCTCAGTTACTGCCAATGCATATGGATGTTATTAGTGTGTGAAGTAAGTGATATTGTTAGTGTGTGTGATAAATAAAGTGTCTTGATTTTATATTTCTTAGGGTCTTGAGGTGGCAGTGGAAGTCTTACTTCCTAATGCTGAAAGAAGAATGTGTGCAAGACATATTTGGGCAAACTGGCAAAAAAGATGGAGAGGTGAGGAAAGGAGAAGCATTTTCGAGGTACTCCAAAGCTAGTTTTGAGGTTAAATTAACAGATGAATTTGAATATATGGGAAAATTGAGTCATAAAATATGTGAGGCATTGCTTGGATATAACAAAGAATATTTGTGTAGAGCTTTATTTAGTGAAAGATCAAAGTGTGATGTGGTGGAAAATAATGTGTAAAACATTTAACTCATCGATTTTTGGTCCTAGACACAAATCTGTGGTTAGTATGCTTTAAGATATTAGGCATAAAATGATGGATATGCATGGAGATATGATTATGTTTGCAGATACATGGATCAGTGACATTTCACTTATGGCAAGACTGATTTTAAAAGAAAACAAAAAGATTGGCAGGGCAATAAGGGTGAATTGGAATCATGACATTGGATTTGAAATTCAAGAAGGAGAGTATAGACACATAATTGACATGACTAGAAAGACATGTAGTTGTAGGTTGTGGCAGTTAAGGGCATACCTTGCCAACATGCAGTTTGTGCCTTATAACATATTGGGCAAGAACCAGAAGATTATGTGGAACATTGGTACAAAAAAGATACATTCCTAAATGCCTATAATTACTTTTTACAAACCATCTCCATTATGGTAATGTGGTTTGACACCAATAACCCACCTGTTGAGCATCCTGAAGTGAAGCCAATGCTTGAAAAACCAGGTAGATGTAGAAGAAAAGATAAAGATGAACTAAGAAAAAAGAAATATGGGAAAGCATCAAAGAATGGAGTGAAGATGTCATGTTCCAAATGCCATCAAGTTGGGCATAACAAAAGAACTTGTAAATCAATGGTAAGTACTTTTGTCTTTCTTTTAAATTTTAATCAGTTTTATACTTCTAATTGTGTGTCTTTACAGCCCTCTGAATAGCCCACACAACAGCCTGCAAGGCCCTTTCAACAACCACCAGTGAGGCAGCCTTCACAACCACCAGTGAGTCAACCTTCACAGCCACCAGTTTTAGGCAGCCTAGCACTGAAAATGCCTCTTCTTTATGTGCAGATACTTTAAAGGTTAAAGGAAGGGAAAAAAAAGCAGTTAACTGCAAGGGCAACATCTTCTTCAACTGCATGGACATCATCTTCTTGAGTTGGAATGCCACCATCTTTTTTAGCTGGAAGGCCACCAACTTCTTTAGTTAAAATGCAACCAGCTGCTTCAGTTGGAAGAAAAAAAATAAGAGATGTGAAATTTAGTGTTTACACAGACATACAATCTGAAAGACAAGTGATTAACGTATGTATATTGCTTTCTTTAATTGATTTTCTTACATCTTTATTTAGGTATACTAAATATGGCCCTATGGATTATGCAACCATGAAGATCAAGTAAAAGAGTTATCTCAAGTGGAACACGGGTAGCATTTAAAGATGCATCACAAACAAATGTTGATTTTGAATTCAAGCCACCTAGTTTAAAATGGAAAGGAAAAATGCAATGACTCGAAATCAACTTCAACAATTGTCAAAGAAAAAGGTGCAAAGCAAATCCAAGGGGAAGTGGGTTTCATAAGAGCTCAAAGTCTTACTGATGTGTATAAATGTTGATCTAGGAGGTCTTTGTTTTTGTTTATTTTGATAACTTTTTGTAAAGGCATACTCCAATTACTGATCATTTTGATGAATTTTGGGTTATTTTAATGTATGTTTGCATAGACAAATATTTGGAGTTTGTTAAGTTGTGTTTAATGGATATTAATTGTGTTTTGTGAAGCCTTTTGGTGTTTGTTATGATTGATATTAAGGCTGCCTTGATGTTAGGTGTTTACTATGTAAGAAAGCGTGTGAATCATGCTAGTATGAAAGTGTGTGAATAATGTTATTCGATTGTAAAAGTGATGAATATTGAAGTAAATGTTGGAGACAAACTGTCAACTCTAAATTGGTACATTTCAATCCATTACTTTGATTGCTTACAATACATATTGACACTCCCTAACCCATAAAGAAAGCTACATTACGAACAAAACAATTCTGGCATAATTTTTTCAACCAATATATATAACATTTACTACATAAAAAACTCTCTATAAATCCAAGATAGTATCACAATGATCAGCAAAAGTCGATATTTCCTCCTAATCTTTTTCTTTTTTTCATCATGTTTTTTTATCCTCTTTTTTAATCCCGAAATAGCAATTATAGCGTGTTCAGTATAATCAAGTTCACACAACCTAAAAAACTTGCATCCAACCTATTTAAGAAGAACAAATTCACTATCAAAATTCAATCTTGAGAACTAAAATTTAAACAAAAAAATATGTTTTAAATGGAACCATACCCGAAAATCTTCACATCCAATAAATCAACAACCTGAATTGTTTGCAGACAAAGAAATCTTCATTATAGCTATTTTTCCATAATGAAAAAAAAATTAGAAGTCGTTTGCACAAAATATGAGCACAAATCGTTTTAAAGAGAGGGAAAAAAATCTTGGTTTGAAAGAGGAGGAAAGAGAAATTAGATTTTGATTTGGAAATATAAAGATATATATAAAAGGGATTCATTAAGGGTATATTTGTCATTTCTATTTTTTTTACCGTTGTGGGCCTCAAAAATAGTCATAACTCGCGCAGAAAACATGCATAACACGCATTTTGCCATGTAGGATTCGCGTGTGTATTTATAAAAAGAATAGGATAGTTCAAGTGCCTATTTGTACACTATAAAAGTTTGAGATCATACTTAAAATTTGAAGTCAAATTTAAGAACAAATATATGTATTATGCCTATTAAATATCTTATCCCTCCTAGCTCAACGATGTAGAACATATAACTAAACAGAGAAATCATACCATAACATATCTCATGTGTCTCCGTTTTGATGGTTCAACGACTTGGTGGAGAATCAAAAAAAAGACTTTGGATAGATTTGCAAGGATTATTCTTCTTTTTCATCTCTCTTAAGCCTTTTTCTTTCATAGTAGATTCTACAACGGTTTTAGAAGATATCTCACCGAAAATAGAATAAAACTCTTAAAAGCCACATAAGAAAATAAGACAAAATTTCAATTTAGCGAGTCTTCCGCTATAGGGAGGGTCTTGGCTATAGCGAGGCCCTTTTATTATAGCAAAGGTCGTTGACCAATACGAAAAAAATTTCATTGAAGCCAAATATTTAAAATATTTAAATTTTTAGTGCATTTTTCAATTAACAACTGAACGATTTATTACAATTTCAAACTCAAGGAGGCTATCCAAAAATTCAAACTTTTGTGACATAAAACTTCAAGACGATGTTTTAGTGCTCAAAGTTGAATAACATTATAAGAAAAAATTTCATGGAATTCAAATATCGTAACATAACACTTTAGAACAGTGTCCTAAAGAAAACACTCTATACATATGAATATCAGGAAACTATATGATATATATCATGAAGTTCGAGAATTTATTACTCCAAACTTTAAATTTTTTTGGGGATAATGCATAATTACCTTTAGACCATGATTGAAATTTCAGAGTTACGTCTAAACTTAACTAGAGTCCTATAAACACCCCCCTCTCCCCCAAACCCCCCAAACTAATTAAAATTGAATAAATACACCACAAAATGTCATAGAGAGTGGACACTCTCTTGAAGGCAAGTGATGAGTGCACAAATTGAACACATGTCATTTTTTTATTGGTAACTTATAATTAGTTAGTACACATATTTGTCGATAATAAAACTTATATATATATATAGGTTTATTATAGAAATTTTATGCATCATGCTATAAATTTTTCGTTAAATATTTTTACGACAATAAATATTTTCACAATAGCTTTTTTTTGTTGTTGCTACTAAATAATCCTTTTGGTAAATTGTTATGCTTCGATTCACATTTATCGCCACGTATTTTACAGACAAAATTATTACATCCAAAATTTAAACCTCAATTCACATATTATTTTACCATAATGTCTAAATTTTCTAGCATTTAAAAAGATTACGAAAATTCCCTATCAGATACATCTCTCTCTTCTGTCAGATACATCACTATCTCCTCTAGAATACATAAATATCCTCTCTCGAGTACATCTTCATCCTCTCTTGAATACATCTCCCTCCTCTCGGGTACATCCATTTTCCCTATCAAATATAGCTCTCTCCTCTCGGATCCATCCGTGACTGCAAGTTTTCTGAATAGCAATATCATAACCGATGTATCCGCATGTCTGTTGATAAATCTAAATTTTTTGTAATGTGAAAAAGAGTAGAGATATAATGTAATTAACTCTCAAAACTATGAAAATTTATGTCAGTTTAACTTTAATTTATCTGACATATTTTTCTCTGTAGTCAATTTCAAAAAAATGATGTATTAATATCTTTAAAACATTTTGACTTTAAAATATAAATTTTATTCTTAGTAAGAAGATTTATAGCCGTATGAACATCTATGGTTTATTTTAGACCAAGAGTTTTAATTTTTTTAAAAATAAATTTTTTAAAGTCAAATAAACATTACATAAATCGAAATGGAGTGAGTACAAACTTTAGTTAAGTTTTTTTAAAAAAACTATTTTTCTTTTTAACAAAGTTTAAAATGAAAATGCTAAACGTTTTTCACAATTATGTTTTATAGTTTTTTTATCAATATATATTCGATAATAACCAAAATTTTAATATAAATAAGGTAATAAAGTAACTTATTTCTGACATTCAAGTATTGATACTAATTGAGAATATTTATTTATAAATTGTAAAGCATTCATAATCTAATAATTAATATGTTTTTTACTCTCGACGAATGACACTAATTTACCATAATTCAAGATTGTAAGAAGTAGAAATCAAGACTAAAAAGTGCAACTCACTATTATATGAAGGTCAATCCGTAGTTTATCTAAAGTTTTCTAAGTATATGATTTATAATTCTATGACAAATTAATTTTTGATCACATATATTTATACTATTTCAAAATCTTGTTAATTGTTATGTATATTCTTAAATTACAATTAGCGGTCATTATTTATCAATTCTTACATCATCAACTATATATTTCTTCTTTTCTTATCTCTTTAAAATTATGTTATTTTTGTTTTCTTATTTAAGTCACAATTTTTAAAGATAAAATAAATATTATGTTGGAGATAAAATAGATTTAATAAAATTACATGATACTTATGTTTAAAAAACATTGTATATAATTAAAAAGGAAATTACATACATGGAATTAAGATCAAATTGGAGATAAAATAGGTTAAATAAAATTACATGAATACTTATGTTTAAAAAACATTATATATAACTAAAAAGGAAATTGCATGCATGGAAGATTGTAGGATTATACTTAATATGTTATAGTAGTAATAAACATAGATGAATGATTTGAATTGTCAAGAGTATAAAAGTAAAAGTGTTTTTCACTTTATTATTATAATCAAACAAATACAAATTAATTTTTAAAAATAAAATAAAATAAATTTATGGGTCACGCATGAAACAAAACTTTTTGTGACTATTGGAAAGGAAAATTGGGTTCTTCTACAAATTTATTTTGACAATTAATTATACAATTATAAAATTAAAACTTTACCCATAATAATATTT